CTCTTTAGGCACTTCCATGACCGGTCCCTGCCCTTCCCCCTGGTGTGGCTTCCAAGCAGAAAGACCCAGAGAGACATGCAGGACTGTGTGGCCTCAGGACATCCCTGGGAACAGACACCAACCAAGGCTGGCTTCTGGTTCTTCCCTGTGTGCAGCAGAAAAGCCAAACACACCGACCAGGTCCTCCGGTGTTGGGTTCTCCGGCATCAGCTGGGCCTGTTGGTAAATGACCACCCTGGCTTCTGCCTGGATTCTTTATTTTTCAAATCACAAGATTAGATTTTCTGTTTGTGGTAGGTGTTGTTTCACAGCTTGTAGCAAAACAAGGCCTATTGAGGACACTCGCTGGTGTTGCCAGAGGAGCTCGGGGACTCAGAGGTGACACCAAGTTAGCCAGTGTCTAGTGACGGGTCTGGCTGAGGGCAGACAGCCCACTCTAGGGAAGAGCAGGCATTGGAGTTTTTAGAAGTGCCATGGTTTTCTGAGTGCATTACACTCACAGGTGATGGTGGGTGCATCTCGGCCTGAGCGCACACACGTGGAATACGGTTTGCTCCACTCCAGTCCCTAGAGCTTCCCCTTCCCCTCTCCTCCGCCCTCCTGGTGCCCTTCCTCTACTCGGTCGATCTCCCTTCTATTTATTTATTTAACTTCAGTGCTTTATAGATACACATAAAGGTGAAATTCACTCTTATATTCATAGACGTACAGAGTGTCATTTGGTCACTTTCATCCATCCTTCCTGTTTTCTGCTTCTACTTCCTCCTTCTCTACTCCACGGTCTCCTTCATTTCCCATGGGACCCCCTTTTTAATTTTGCGCCGGCTTCCACATATGAGAGAGGACGTTTGGCCCTTGTCTTTAGCGTCTGGCTTACTTCATTCAACCTGATGTTCACAGTTCCATCCATCCGTCCATCCGTGTAGAGCCACAGGCTCCTCAAGCACCAGGGGGCCAGTCCAGGGGCCCAGGTGCTGGGCAAGTTCCACTTGCAGAGCTTCGTGGAGGATGGACCAGAAATGTCAGCCTCCTTCTGGGGCCAAGGCTGGTGGCAGGAGGCCAGGGTGGAGATGATGGCTGAGGGCCCTCGGGCCTCGCAGACATCTTCCTCTCTGCTGACACGTTGCCTGGAGCTCACTGGCCTGCGGAGGCCCTGCTGGCTGGCTGGGGTCCTCCGGGGAGAAGGACGTGCGGTGTGCTCCAGGAGCCTGGCCTGGCTGCCGCTCCTCAGACCTGGGCACCCTAGTTCCTGTGTCCCCTGCAGACTGTGCTCCTCCTCCTAGGAGCACCGCCCCCCCAGGTCACTTCAGCTCACATGGAAGTTCTGGGAGATGTCTTGGTCACCTGGGCCACCTCTCTAGCTCGTGTGAGTCAGGTCCCCTCGCTATCCCCCGGTGTCTCTCCGTTGGTCCCTATCACAGCGCTCCTGCTCTCTGCTGCTTGGCTTTCTCTGCCCAGCCGTGGTGGAGCACTTTGTGGGCATTTCCACACTTTCAGCCCCCACACCGACACCAGGGAAGGAAATTCACGTCCATCTCAGAGATGGATGAGTCAGTGAACAGCCTCGAGATCCTCGAGTAACAGGAAGTCTGCTCTGACCTGGAAAGTGGATGCCATAGCTATCACAGTCTGTGGCAGCTGATGGCAGGGCGGAGCCCCAAGGTTAAATTCAGCATGACCAAATATGTCTGGGGAAATATATTGAATATCGAAAGCATAGAGTCTGTCTCCAAACCACCTGGTACGGAGTGGGTGGTAGCCCTGAAATAGAAGCTTCCTTCTCTGTTGTCCTCGCATTGCAGTGTGGAGAGCTGTGCCCCTCCTGGGGATGGAAGGGTGGGTCCTAGGAACTCCACACCGAGGGCATCAGGTGCGTGCTTATGGGGAAGGATGGTGTGGAGCACACGTCCAGGCTACTCGTGACGCATCATGTCACGAGAAGGACTCTCCAAACATGGGGCAGAAGGCGTGCCAAAAGCACCAAGGGACCCTATAGGACGGAAATGATGGCTGCCCTCCTTCCAGGGGAGAACACCCAGCCCTGGGTCTGGGCTCTGAACGTCAGTCATCTCTGGACTTTTGAACAACCTGAAGGTCTGTCTCCTCTCAATGGGGCCTCCCAGAAGGCAGCGTGAGCTCCGTACCTGTTACCCCTGGGAGAGTCGTGTGACCCATGGCACTGGACTGGCACCTGGAACTCGAGTGGGAAGTCCCACCTAAGGCAGCACGGTGTGCAGAGCCAGGGGGTGGGGAGATGGGGTTCAAGGGCAGGCTGAACTCAGCCGTGCGCTCTCAATGCAGGACAGCGCCTGCTGGCTCTCCTGTGTGTGCGCCAGCTGTCCCTTGTGCTACTCCAGCTGTTAGATGAGACCATGGCGTCCCTGGGGAGCATCACTCACGGCGTTTGTGCCCTTTGGCCACAAAAGAGCATGTGACCCAAGGCCAGCCCATCTCATTACTGCTGCTTTCCCTGAGCACCGCACGCGTGCTGGGCGTGAGCTCTAGTAAAGCCGAGACCACCGGAATCGTTCAGGGAGGGGTTTTATTTGGATTACAATGTGAGAGTAGAGAAGGCTGGAAATCGTTCTCTTCCTTTTGGTTGATGAGCAGAAAAACGTTGGCTTGGGATGGGGGTAGCAAGCTTCCTGCCGGGGAGAAGTTTCGGTTGTCTCCTGAGCGCTGCAGAGGCCAGCAGACCTGACGGGGGCCTGGAGGGAGGAGATCCTGGCGTGCAGAGCCAGGATTTTGTTCCTAAATTGTCACTTAGTAAAATATTTTGTAGATTTTTCTATTGCAGCAAATACAGTTTTTTACTTTATTCTTTTAAAATGTCTTCTCTATGTTCCGTTTTGTCCCATTTTGTGGGCTAATCAGAACCCCGCAGCGGGATGGTTTAGAATGAACAGAGAGTTCTTTGGTGCTGGAGGTTGGGAAGTCTGAGGCGTGGCACCAACTTCTGGCCCGGGACTTCTTGTTGGGTCTTCACGTGGTGGAGGGCAAAGGGCAGGAGGGGGCGAGAAAAGAGTAAGGGGGCAGGACTGTGTACGGCAAACCCACTCCTGTGACAGTGGCCTACTCCCGAGAAAATGACGTCAGCCATTCGTGGGGCAGAGCCTGTGACCCAGGTGCCTCCAGGAGACTCCCCTCCCACCTTGGTTCCATGGGGTTAGGTTTCCGACACAAGCTCTTCGGGGACACGGTCTAATCATTGCATATTCCATTCCATGGAGGTAAAAGACTTCATTCAGTTGATCCCTCATTGCAGAACATGTTGTTTGTGTATTGTGTTTATTTTCATTAGATATCATAAGCCATGGTGCAATAAATAATCTTGCAAATAAGAGTTTGAGCAATATGTTTTGACACTGGTTTGAATCCCAAGTTGTTTGCACATTTTAAGAATTTCAAGTTACTGTCACATTTGTTCCAGTTTCTGGTCTCACTGATAGAAGGTTACAAACCCAGTTCCTCAAATTCTTGCCAGAACTGAGTGCCATCTGTTTTTCCCACCTTATGGAAGAATAACGATGTTTCATTATTTTATTTCCTTATTTTATGGGTGGTTCATAAGGCATTTGTATCTATCTTCTTTGCAAATTCTCATCTCTATTATTTGATCATTTTTCAAATTGCACTGTTAGATTTTCCTTACGCATTTGTAGAAGCTCTGCAAATAAAGGAAGCCCAGCCGCTTTCAAAGCATGTACCTTTCATCATTTTCTTTTTGACATTTTCCCACGTGAAACTCTGCATTTTTGTTTGCTTCATGACTTCTGAAATTTGGACTCTGCATACATCACCAACTCATTTGTCCATCCTTTCTTCTAGAACTTTTAGGATTAACTTTTCCCTGTTTAAATCTTTTTGCCAGCTACCGTTTAGTTTGGGGATAATGAATGAGATACAAACCCAGAGTTATTTTTCCCAGACAGTCAGATTTTCCATTTGCCTTTATTAATAATTTCTCTCTTCCCCATGAGTTCGAAATGTCACTTTAATTATGAACTGAATTTCAATAGGAAATTGTTTTTATTTATAGATTCTTTATTCTGTTTCATTTGTACTTTTCTTTCCCCATGCGGTGGGTTTAATAGTGGCTCCCAAAAGTTGTGCCCTCTTAGAACCTCAGAACATGACCTTATTTGGAACCAAGTTCTTTGAAGGTGCAGTTAAAAAGGATTTAAATTGGGAGGCTGAGGCAAGAGGATAGTGAGTTCAAAGCCAGCCTCAGCAACTTAGCAAGGCCCTGAGCGACTCAGGAGACTTTGTCTCTAAATAAAACACAAGAAGGGCTGGGACTGTGGCTCAGTAGTTAAGCACCCCTGAGTTCAATCCCTGGTACCAGAAAAAAATAAAAGAAGGATATAAAGATGAGAAGGATATAAAGATAAAATTATTTCAATCAGAGTGAGTTGTAAGCTTCAGTGTTCAATGACAGGTGTCTTTAACAGAGACAGAAGGAGACACAGACAGGCGTCGGACAAAGTCCACATGGAGATGGGAGGACCTAAGAGAGCTGCTATCTTCAGCCAGGATTGCCACAACCACCAAAGTTGGGAAGAGCAGGAGAGCGCCCCCTATAGGCTGCAGTGGGAGCAGGGCTCCGTCACACCTTGATTCTGCACTTCGATGGGGAGTCACATTATTCTATCCTAAGCCACCAACTCTGTGCTAATTAGCTAATATGCACCAGGAAACAAATGCACGCCCTGCTGCACAGTTCCAATCGTGTGTTTCAGTACTTCTCAGGCCAGTCGTCCCTCTCACGCTTTCAGAGAAAAGCCTGAGTCAGGAGCAACCAATGTCAAGGGCAGAGGCTGTCCCAGCAGGACAGGCCCGTCAGATACTGGGATTTCACACCAAATTAACTGGAATCAGACCTTTAACAATGTGTGTCCCACTTAGCTTCATGATCAAGAGGAGCACAGATGGGGTCACCTCAGCTGACACCCCTGGTCTCTGCAAGGTGTCCCCTCGACCCAGAATCAGGGTTAACTTACCTCCTGGAAATAACCGTGGAACCAATGAGACACAAACAAGAGAGCCGCTCCTCACTGGCTGCCTCTCACGCTGGTCTTCTTGTTAAAGGAAGGGAAGAGTGGCTTTAGGTTTCTATTTTTTTTTTCTTTTAAATGGAAGAAGTCTTCTTTACTGAAGCATCAAGAAGAAAAACCGCCTATGAGACAGACTTTGTCTCCCAAGATAGCAGCTGAAGGGGGGATTCGATGAGCTCAGAAGAACCCGGAGCACCTGCCGGGGAAATATTCCAACAGATGTCTTTGCTGTAATTAAAGTCATGCGCGTCGGCCTAGAAGCTCTGGTCCTGTTGGAAAGAAAACGGTTAATGTTCTGGCTAACCCCCATTATCTCACTTACTGCGGCCGCTCAGAGTGCTCTTGTTTAATTTCCATGCAGCGGGGCCCTTCCAATTGAAGGGCTCATTCACAAAAATAGTGGCCAAGTGGGTAATTCCTGGCTTAGGCCTTGAACATCTGGTGGCCTTCGAATCTGATGGCATGTAATTAGAGCGGGGACAGCCATACAATCGGGGATTGAGGGGATGCTGTTTAATCTTCTGCCATATGCTCGCATTTAGCTTCTCTTCTCTCCCCTAAACCCACGCATACAGGAGGCACCTGGATGGCTCCTGAGGCCTGCCTGGAGGTCGGCTCTCTCCCAGCACAGCTGGCCTTTCCTGGCCAGGCCACAGTTACCTTCTACCTTTCAGTGACCTTCATTTAGGAAGAGATGACCTGTTGCCTCATAGGGCTCCAGTGGCTCCTGCCAACCCCCCAGCATTCCCAACCTTGTGCCCATGAGTTGGCTAATCTAATCAGCATGATCCTGACCCAGAAGGAGAGGAGGCTAAAGGTCTGTCAAGCATCCCTAGGGCAGATATCAGGTCTCCCTTCATAATGGCGACTGCTGCGTCACACATGGCCACCTCTGGCCCATGCCCTTCACAGGAGTCTTGATGGGCAGTAAGTGGGCTGACAGGGGTTGGAAGGTTCCGGAGCCAGGCGTGAGCTCTGTTTCCTTATGCTGAGTGTGTTGGAGGGACCTGGTCTCGGGATGCTCCTGCGGGGGTGGAAACCACAGTGGAGCACATGAACTGCTAGGCACAGAGTGCCCTGGGACATGGCGGGAGCTGACAGGTGTCTTCATGAGCTTGAGTTGCCAGGTGGCTGGTCAGCAACATAAGTCTATCCCTCCAAGTCTGGTGTCCGGAAGCCCGGGGTCAACGGGTAAGCAGGTTCCGTCTGGTGAGGGCCCCTTCCTGGTTCCCAGCCTATTCGTCCCTCAGGCCTCCACTCCTAACCCTCCACCTTGGGGGTTGGGATTTCAACATATGGATTCTGGGGGACACAAACATGCAGACCAGAGCAGCATCTCCATGCCACCTTTCGGTAGCCATCCTGGCACATGGTGGGTGCTTAACCCTGGCAGCTCCTCTAGATGTAGAAGAAATGTCAGCCGCTGATTGAAAAGACAGATATGTTAATTGACTGAGTAAATGTTTTTACAGTGTATACACAGATCAAAACATCCCCCTCTTCCTCATAAATTACACTGTTTTTATTTGTTGATTTAAAACACTAATGATAAAAAAGAAAACAAAAGTATTCTGAAATGTTAGTTGATAAAGCAAAACTCAAACTTCTGTCATCTCACATTTTCTCCCCATCCCTGGACCTGGGACTCCAAAATCCAAAGTCATCCCAGGCAGCTTCCCCCCACCCCCACCCCCGCCCCAGGCACGACTTCCTCTCCAGTCTCTCAGGCCCTGCCAACGCTCCCAAAACTGTCCTGGATAAAGCGCTCCCAGAGTGTGCATTGAACTTTCTGTTTCAGACCCTGCTAGGCTGGATGACAGTCTCTCAAGATGTCTCCCCTAATCTTTGGAACTTGTGATGCAGTCACAAGGCAAAGATCGTGGTTAAAGTTGGGGTCTTGAGATGGGAGATCACCCTGGGTTATCTGAGTGCAATTATAATCGTCTCATCCCAGAGAGGCAGAGGGGTCTGCACACACCGGGAAGGCCCTGGGCGAGGCAGCCTCCAGCCAGGGAGCTCCGGCAGCTGCCGGTAACTGGCAGAGGCAAGCAGAGTCTTCCCTGGAACGGCAGAGGACCGCAGCCCACTGACACCCGGGATACCCAGAACCAAAGAAAACGAATCTCTGGGTTGTAAGGCACCAAGTTTGAAGGACTCTGTTCCACGTCCATAGGTGACTAATGCACCGACTGGCAGGAAGCCAAAGGCTCTGGGATACGATACTCATTGTGCTGTTTCCTCACTCTGTGAACATCCACTGACAGTCGACCATACAATGTATGGACTGGGAGGTGCAGAAGCAGAAAAATGCATAAAATAGATGATATACGTCAAATCATTCAAAACTGCTTATTTTCAATCATTTTGACCCGTGAAGCAGCAGCTTCATGAGGCCTGATATGACGCACCCACCTTCCTCTGAGCATGTTTGACGACACTATTTTCCAAAAATGGCCACAAACATTTCTCCCATAAATGTTCTTCCTTAATGACCTTGAGGATCTTCATAGCAAGGGTTGGGATGACTGTACTTCCTCCTCAGATGTGGTAAACATGTCACTCAGCAGGATTAAAGCTGAGCAGCAGCCCCAGGGCCCTTGGACATGCCCCTGCAAAGGCCTGGCCCACATGTGAGAAATCCGTGGCTGCCATGCTATGAGGAGGTGCCAGCCACTGGGATGGTGCTACAAACTGAATGTGTCCCCCAAAATTCGTAGCTTGAAACTTCAACACCAACATGGTGGCATTGAGAAGTGGGGCCCTTGTGAGGTGATTGAATCATCCCAGGGATACTGAGTCCAGATTTCTGGTTCCTAGAAAGTGATTGCATCCTGGAGCCCACATCAATGGAATTAACGACCTTATTTATAAAAGTGTGAGAAAGAGCAGAGAGGAGCAAACATTTCTACACTCAAGCACCTCCTGACGCGCCCGTTTCCATCAGGGCAGAACACGTGCTCCTTTTCTGCAGACTGAAGAGGCCCCACAGCTGTGGTGAGGGAATCCCAGGGGAACTCAGGAGTAAGATGGAGAAAATGGAGAAATTTCCAGAAATACCCAGCTACTAAAGGAGGGAAAAGAAAACCAGGAATCAGGAAAGCTCTCAGGCCCATTAATTAAACCATGGAGTAACCAGGACATCTGGAGTTTCCCGCAAGAATGGGAATTTCCTTTGAAGGGAAGTGTACTTCAGAGTGAAGAAGAACAATCTCATAGTGTCAAGAGCAATGGCCCAGAGAGGCATAAAGGAGGGTTGGGAAAACGTGGGAAGTATGCTGATAAGTTTGCAGGCTCTGTACTGGACTCTCTGTAGGGCCAACAAGAGACCAAGGAGTGAACCGCTGCCTTATCTTTATAGAAAGGCCCTACACAGGATCCTGGGAGATAGACAGAAGGACAGTGACCTCACGGGATCTCTCTGTAGAGATGCTGTTGGCCTCCCACCTCCTGAGTACCAGCCCCAAGACTGTGGAATCTCCATTTCCTCTGAGGCACTGCTTGGATCCCTCCAGCTGTGATATTCATGGCGGACCCTCAGGTTCCTAGATGGGAGTCCTGGAACAGGACAATCCTGTACGTGCTTCCTGCCATTTCCCCAGAAGCACCCCTCCTCCTCACAACAGAATAGTACAATTCTGTAACTGGTGATTTCCTTCCTTTCCCACCCAGTTAATGAGAATAAAATGTGGAATTAAGTGGGGAAAAACAAGTGTGAGGGAGTTGTTTGTTTTGCCTTCTGTCTTCTGCCACGTGAGGACACAGAGATTGGGCGCCATCTTGGAAGCAGAGGCAGCCCTCACCGGACACTGGTTCTGCTGTTGCCTCTACCTGGCATCTCCCAGCCCCAGAGCGGTGAGAAATAATTTCCCATGGTTTGTAAATTACCCAGTCAGTGATGTTTTGTTATAAAAGTCCAAGCACACTAAGAGGACAAAGAAAGATAGGATCATTTATGTGACTCAGACACTCAGGGAAGACCCCTGAAGCTAATGGATGTGTAAGAGGAATTTTCTTAAATGAATTTTTACCTCTAAAGAGAAATTACTCATTTATTAACATTTTAAAACACATGTGCAGTAATAATGAGATCAATTGATTACTTCCGAGACGCTTTTGTTGGTGAATGTTTAGGTATAAGGCTCAGGTTAGAAACCGAATCTTTAGTTTCTGGACTCCCCTGTCACCCAGGATTGGTGTAAGTCAGTGGATCTGCCATGTTTGTGGAGGAGGGTGCAGAGCTCTCCTGGGTGCTATGTATGGGAACAATGGAAGAGAACCCTGGGTTGGTGAGATATCCAGGAGAAAAGATGGAGGTGGTCCAAGAGTTCACTGTAGGCTTACAATACAAAGGCTCACCCAGTCTCCTTTGGAAAACCCCCTGAAAATTCTGCACTGATCTTTAAAATTTATTCCAAGTCCATTATTTGTAGAAACCCGAAGAAGAAGAAGAAGTGGGATTAAGAATCACCAATCCCAAACCTCAACCTCCTGGTACTCTCAAGCAGTAAGAAATATTTCCATCTTTATCCTTTGTGCATTTCATTTCACAAATGGGTGCATAGTCTGTTAAGGGAATGTGGTTTTAGCTTGAAGAAGAAAACTCCAAGTGTCTCCCTCTTCTGATGTTTCCCTGGGAGTCCTTCTCTCAAGATGTTTTGGGGTTCGAGAGGAGTTCTTGAAGAAGGCCAGCTCAGCAGACACCCATGTTCTACTCTGCCTCAGACACATGCTCTGAGTGAGGACCCCCTGCTGGAACCAGAGCACAGTGTGACCAGCACTTCACATCGTGGAACTGCACCAGCAAGGTGCCGATTTCTCTTCCACTTCATCACCTCTAAACCTAGGTCTCTCAGAACTGGCCTGGTGCTACCTGAGCACATACCCTTGTTTTCTTATTTTAAGTGAGACCCAAGGTTGGAATAATATTCCATTCTGGCTAAGCAGCAGCCACCAAATCCCAGGGACTCGACATGGACCAGGATCTGAGGGGGCAGGTGGTTTTCTTGTCTCTCTTCCACGTGCTGATGAAGGCCTGGGGCTCTCTTCCTCAGGTGTCTTCCTTATCCTGAGTCCTTCACGTTCAGCATCATAGTGGGAAGAGAGAGAGAGAGAGAGAGAGAGAGAGAGAGAGAGAGAGAGAGAGCGAGCAAAACAGAGCCCAGGAGAGGCCTTGGGTGCAGGCCAAAGTGACATTTCAGTGCATTCACTGGCCAGTGCCCACCAGGTGGTCTCCACCAGGTGGACTTCAGGCGTGTGGGCAAATGCAGGTTTCCTGTGTGCCCAGGAA